CCATGAGTTGTGCGCTTGTTGTTGTAGTACAGCTCCAATGGCTGTGTTAGATGCATCAACCGAGATGCTAAGCGGAAGTTGGGTGTCTAAGTGAACTAACATGGTTGCGTCTGCAATCGCTGATTTAATTTTTTGGAACGCTTCCCTAGCCTCTTGTGTCATGCTGAAGGTTTTGCATTTACCCTTCAGAAGGTCTGTGAGTGCATGAAAAATATGTGCACATTGAGGAACGAAACGTCAGTAATAACTTACCATGCCTAGGAATGTGCGCAAAGATTTCACGGACGTAGGCTCTGGGAAGTTTTGTATGGCTAGTACCTTCTCAGGTAACGGTCGAATGCCATGTTCGTTAACGACATGTCCCAGAAAATTCAACGAATGTACGTCAATCTGGCATTTTGACATGTTAAGTGTCAAACCGTGTGTTGCTAATCGCTCAAAAACTATCCGCAAATGCCTACGCTGAGTAGCTTCATCAGGGCTAGCCACGAGAATATCGTCCAGGTAGACATACGCGCAATTTAATCCGCGCAAAACATCATGTATGAAACGCTGGAATGTTTGTGCGACGTTGCGGAGACCAAACGGCATGCGGAGGAATTCGAAAAGACCAAAAGGAGTGATGACTGCCGTTTTAGGAATATCCTCAGGATGAAGTGGGATCTGATGATATGCTCTAGGTAAATCAAGTTTACTGAAAACCGTTGCGCCATTGAGGGAAGATGTGAGATCATGTATGTGGGGTACCGGGTAACGATCTGGCACGGTCTGCGCATTAAGTCTGCGATAATCGCCACAAGGTCGCCAATCTAACCCGTTATTCTTGGGTACCACGTGCAGAGGTGACGATCACGGGCTGCTTGAAGGCCGGATGATTCCAATTTCTAACATGTGTTCAGACTCAGCCTTAACGGCTTGTAGTTTTTCCGGAGACAACCGTCGGGGCTTTGCGAAAACTGGCGGACCAGTCGTAACAATATGATATGTGACATTAGAAGTCACGCTTGGTAGACAACGGGTAGGTTTAAACAAGTCAGGAAAGGATTGAAGTATATCAGAATATGGTCCAGCTAAAGTTGGTGTAGCGTATACTGGGCTGAGAGCTGGTTCTTGTGTGACGATACCGCTGACGGAGAGGTTTGTGACAGGATCTCTTAACTTATGATTACCTGTATCTACCAGTAACTGGTAGTGCTGCAATAGATCCATGCCAATTATACCTGTGGTAACGTCTGCCACCAGGAAGACCCAACGAAATGAACGACGCAAACCGATGTTAAGGTCTATAAAGCGCCTGCCGAACGTAGCAATTGGCGAACCATTTGCGGCTCGTAGTTGAAGAGACATTGGCCGTCTGCGCTCCTCTACTGTGGGTGGGATTACACTGACCTCCGCTTCGGTATCAATTAGGAAGCGTGTCCCAGTGTTACGGTCGGTAACACAGAAGAGGCGACATGAGAGTGGTTCGCCAGCGACGTTAGTCACCAGTACGTGATGGCCTGCTAGTTTCCCGATTGTTGAACATCGAAGGTGCACGGGCGAATGTACTTTTGGGCTTTTGCCCCGTAACGTCGATGATGCCAGCACTTTCCAGGCTGGCTACTTCGGGACTGTTGGCGCTTGCTGCTAGCACGTGACAAGGGTCTACTACTACGCGAACTCGAGCGACTGCGTGCACGACTCCTGGAGTTCATCTCCTGTCGTATACTACAGATCTCCTCGTATAGCTTGGCTATATGGGCCACAGCGTCAAAGCTTGATGACCCCCGTCAGAAGAATCTTTGGTTTGAGCGGGAGCAGCGGTCACTGTTGCGGAAATGCCAATTTTAGGATCGATGGCCTCTACCGCTCTATCAGCTGCCTCGGCTATCTCCTGTAAGGGGTACGTATAGATCGGTGTCAGGATACCCTGGACCGTCTGAGGTAATCTTTGAAGCCAAAGCTGTTTCAGAAAGACCTCGTCAATTTTAAAGTCCGCCACTAACTGCTTCATCTGCTTCAACATTTGTGAGGGCTTGCGGTCACCTAACTGAACATCGCGGAAAAGTTCCTGCACTTTCTGTTGGTCAGTAAGTGCGACTCGTCGAATTAACGCCTGTTTGAGCCGCTCGTACCGATCCGGAGACGGATCTGCGAGAACATCAGACACCTCGTCAATGACACTTCCAGGCAGGCTCACAATCACGTGGTTTATTCTGGCCTCTTGTGAGTGTATGCGTCTAATGGCAAACTGAGCCTCTATTTGATTGAACCATGCAGCTGGACGATGTGTCCAGAAGGCGGGGAGTTGAAGCGTTATAGCCATCCCTGACGCAGAACCGTTGTCAGCCAACTTGCACACAAGACAAAATATTAACAAGGTGATAAAAACCAATATAAGTACAAACAAAACAAATCAAATCTTTATAACCGTGCGTGAAAGAAAGAAAAAGAATTTAAAAAATAGACGGTATGTAAAAAGAATTATTAAAACGTTAAGCTACTATGGCGAAAAACGGTGAAAACGGGCTCACCACTTGTAAGAGTTCTACTACGGCTTAGAGTGGACCTATACTCTAAACACCCTTGCAAACTTCTTCACCGTTTTGCGACCTTAGCAGTACACTACTCGACGCGCAAATACTGACGAACTGTATCGCAGTAAAAAGACTTGATGTGACAAGAGTACCTGGGAGAATTATATTTTATTCAACGAAATATGAAATTCAATACATAAAGAAGTCGTACAACTTATCTGCAACCTCGCGAGATACCAGCTTGCTAGGCTACTAGCTTACTAGTTTTCTCGCCGGTCCCAAGCCCAGGTAAATAGGGAGGGTTGGGGCGTGGTGCTAGCAACTCCACCCCTGTAAAACAACCAAATCGCTACAGAAACTTCAACGAATAAATATATTAAAAATTCTAAAAACATAAGCAATAGCCTTACTTTTCGCTGGAATCGGGGAAGTGAAATGACGCAGGCTGGTGAAAGCCTTCGAGAAGCCAGTCAGCCGATGTGCCTTCGTTCGATGAAAACAAAAGTAAGGATGGGTACCTGGAATGTTCGTACAATCTACGAAACTGGAAAGGCTGCCCAGATAGCCGCTGAAATGAGAAGGTACAGAATAGAAGTGTTGGGAATCTGTGAGAGCAGATGGAACGGAACTGGAAGGTGCCAACTACCTACTGGAGAGACAGTAATCTATTCCGGCCACACAGAGGACAACCATGAGCGCACCGAGGGAGTGGCCACCATGATGTCACCAACAGCAACCAAAGCTCTCATGCAGTGGGAACCAATCTCCTCCAGGATAATGACAGCCAGGTTCAACTCAAAAGGAAGGAAAGTTACAGTCATTCAATGCTATGCGCCTACAAACGTCTCAGAACAAGAGAAGAAGGAGGCGTTCTACAGACAACTACAAAAATCCTGATGGCGACATGAATGCGAAGCTGGGACAACGGAGAGAACTCACCATGGGTCTGAGGCCCTCGGTGAAATGAACGACAATGGTGAACCTACTCAGACTTCTGCGCCTTCAATGATTTGGTGATTGGTGGTAGTGTGTTCAAACACAAGGATATACACAAGACGACATGGATTTCACCAGATGGAAACACCAAGAATCAAATAGACTTCATCTCAATTTCAAGAAAGTGGAGACGGAGCCTACTGGACACAAGGTCAAGGAGAGGAGCAGATGTGGGTTCAGACCACTATCTAGTAGAAGGGACTTTCAAGGTGAAACTAAAAGCCTCGAGGATAGCTAGCGATAGGCCACAATGCAAGTTCAACACTCGATTACTCAAGGACACAACCACAAAAGACATCTTCACTGCAACTGTCAGAGCAAAGCAGGAAACACTACGCGACATCATTGAAGAATCATGCGTGGAAGAACATTGGAAGTCTCTGAAGGCGATTCTCAACGAAACGTGTTCAACGGTTCTAGGAAGAAAGAGGAGACAAGACAAGGAATGGCTCTCAACGGACACTTAGAAATTATTAGAAGAGAGGAGAATGGCGAAAGAGAAAATGATTCAATGCAAGGACGGACAGGAGAAGGAGACGATGAGCTCAACTTACAAAGCATTGGACAAAAAAGTGAAGAAGAGTGCTAGGAAGGGCAAAAGGCAATCCTACGACAACCTGAAGCCACTGAAGCTGAGAAGGCAGCAAGAAAAAGGGACCTGAGGACATTATATCAGAAAACCAAGTCTGTAGGGGACTAATATTAGAGTTCACTAACATTCCAAGTATAAAAGTAATAATCCAAGTCAGTGGAGTGTTAAATCACAATATATTACCAAAAATACAGTGACGAGTTATAGCAACAAAAAGGATTACTTGTATATAAAGTCTAAGTCCTCGGCTACAAATTAATTATATAATCCACGGGCACGTTAATTGTTTGGACTGCGTCTGCTGTAGCTGCTGTGTTCCGGTTGTAGAAATGTCTTCGGTTGAGAGTAGTAGGCTCCTACAATAAATCCGAAGTATACAACACGGTGTGAGTGGAGCAAGTAAGCAGAAGTGACCAGGGAGAAGACGAAGTCTCCAACAGCAGAGTGTATTTTTCAATTGTACACGGAAGTTATGTATATTTCAACAAGAAGCGTTTTAAACAAAAATTATGTACAATATCTCGAATTTATACAAGTAACCAAAAAGTGTACAATCACATTGTTACGTACTCAACACGGCTCCCCCCTAGAGGTCCGGAGAGACAACCGGAAAATGATAAGTAAAACTATGAAGTAAATAATAATAGTAATAGCAACTTTTGGATAAAAATAGGGATATATTACAACATGCATAAACGCGAGAAGGTATGTGAATCATGTAAAGTCTGAAAGCATATACAATGAGTTCAGCAATAAAAATTGAAATAGAAAGTCATGTCACTTAAATTTGCACTAACCATGAACATAGATTTTTAATGTATAAAGAAAAATATGTAAATACACAGTAATTAAGGAGGGGAAAGAAACATTAAAAAAATATGGATTAAAGATCAATAGTTTTTGGAAAGGACACTACCTGTTTTTTCGGTGAGGTACATATAAATAAATAATAGTGATAGTAACATCAAAGTTTACGACGAAATACTAACGGTCATGATGATAATGTCTAAACGAAAAAGATAATAATAATTTTTAATTATTTTTCTTTTGTTAGTCCTCAAAATGAACGTAGCGAGCCGGTTTACTGATTTGCCGACCACTACGTGTGTGATATGGAGGGAGGATAAGACTTGGTGCCGGTGGAGGGGATTCGGATGTTTGATTATTTGATTGCGCAGCTGCCGATGTAGATTCGAAGTCGTTGTCGGTGTATGCGGGTTTGATTCGATCAATTGAAACAGTCTCTCGTCTTCCATTCTTGTTCACTGTAAAGTGTTTGTCTGAACGTTTAATAACTTGAAAGGGTCCTTCGTATGGAGGTTGCAATCCTTTTCTGATGGCGTCGACTCGAATGAAGACGAATTTGCAAGTTTGTAGATGTTTGTTGATCTGATCTCTTCGGGGAGATTGTCGAGGTGCTGTTGGTTGAAGTTGAAGCATTTGTCTAGTTAATCGGTTAGTGAAGTCGGCAATGTTCACGTCTGTGGAATCGGCTGAGGGGACTAGCTGTCCAGGCAAGGTTAGGTTGGTGCCATAGACAAGTTGAGCCGGTGTACATCCTAAATCTTCTTTGATAGTAGAACGGATACCAAGTAAAATCAAAGGTAAGTATTCACTCCACTTAGATGTATCATTCTGCGCCATCAGGGAGCTTTTCAGTTGTCTGTGGAATCTTTCCACTAGACCATTCGCTGCCGGATGATAGGCTGTTGTGGAGATATGTTTCACTCCCAGAAGTCTCGTCAGTTCGCGAAAGAGTGTCGATTGGAATTGAGGACCGCGGTCGGATGTAATAGTAGTTGGTACACCGTAGTTTGACACCCAACGGTCGAGAAAAACTAAAGCAACGTTTTCAGCAGATATGTCGTTTAAGGGGCATGCAATAGCCCAACGAGTAAATCTATCAATCGCTGTCAGGATATGTGTATATCCCCTTGATGTTGGCAATGGTCCCACGATATCTATATGGATATGCTGAAATCTCCTTTCGGGTAATTTAAACGTCTTCGGGGTTGTAATAGTGTGGCGGTGTACTTTGGAGCATTGGCATTGGATACATTCTCGTGCCCATCTCCGAATGTCAGAGTTCATTTTAGGCCACACGAAGCGTTCGCTGATCAGTCTGACCGTGGCGCGTACTCCAGGGTGGGAAAGCGAATGTAAATGTTCGAACAATGCTTTTCGGCAACTGAGAGGGACAAATGGACGATTAGTGCCGGTAGATACATCGCAGACTATGGTTGCATCTGATAAGGGGATAGGCACATCTTTGAGCTGTAAGGAAGAGTTTCTGCGGCAGGTTTGGAGTTCAACGTCATCTCTTTGTAATTGAGCCATACGATCAAGACTGATGTCTACCGACGTTTGGAGCTGGTTAATGTCACTTCTTGAAAGAGAATCGGCTACCACGTTCGCATCCCCTTTGATGTACTGAATGTCGGTTGAAAATTGGGAGATATAATCCAACTGTCTGGCTTCTCTAGGGGAGTGTTTATCAAGTGAAGTAGTGAAAGCATGACACAGGGGCTTGTGGTCAGTAAAAATAGTGAAATGCCGGCCCTGTAGTAAGTAACTGAAATGCTTCACTGCAAGATATATGGCCAGCAATTCTCTCCCAAAAGTGCTGTATCGTGTCTGAGCCGGTTCCAACTTCTTAGAAAAGAATGCGAGTGGGGTGACTTCGCCCTTCATCTTTTGTTGTAATACTGCCCCTACAGCTACTTGGGAGGCATCTGTGCACAAAATAAGCGACGCTTCGGGGTTGATATGGGATAGCATAGTGACTCTGGATAAGGCATCTTTTGCGTTGCAAAATGATTCGCGTGCTTCAGCTGACCACTGAAACTTTTTAGGATCATTTTTAAGGAGGTCGGTTAACGGCTGGACGATGGAGGCACACGAAGGAATGAAACGCCGATAGAAATTAAACATCCCCAAAAAACGTCTGACCTTCTTGAGTGAATCTGGTTCGGGGAAGTTTTTGATGGACTCTATCTTTTCCTCCGTAGGCGTAATACCATTCGCGGTTATGTGGTGTCCCAGAAACTGTATAGAGGAGACACCGAATATGCACTTTTTGGGGTTAATGACGACTCCATATTGCTCAAATCGTTGAAATAAGATGGTGAGGTGATCAGTATGTTCTTCGGGCGACGAGCTAGCAATTAAAACGTCATCGATATATACAAATACAAAGTCCAAACCTTGTGTGACCTGATCCATGAAACGTTGGAAGGATTGTGCTGCGTTCTTTAGGCCAAATGGCATGCGGAGAAATTCAAACAAACCGAAAGGTGTGATGATGGCCGTTTTTTCGATATCCTCTTGGGCAACTGGTATTTGGTGATAGGCCCTGACCAAGTCTACTTTAGAAAAAATGGTTTTTCCGTGTAATGTCAGGGAGAAATCATGAAGATGAGGAATAGGATAACGGTCGGGAACTGTGGCATTGTTTAAATGTCGGTAATCCCCACATGGCCTCCAATCATGATCAGCTTTAGGCACCATGTGTAAGGGCGAAGACCAAGGACTATTGGAGGGTCTGATGATGCCGAGCTGCATCATGTGTTCAAATTCTGCCTTGGCTGCTGCCAATTTGTCCGGGGGTAATCTACGGGGACGAGCACGAACTGGTTGACCCGTAGTAACTATCTTGTGAGTAACTGTGTGAGGGACGTCCTCGATGTTGTACGACGGCTTAAGAATTTTAGGGAAACGGTGAAGTAGGGAGGAAAAAGGGCAATCTGCTGGTCTTTCAATACTGATATTATAGACAGAATAGCTGGAGATAATTCCATGGATCTTTAGATGGGTGTTGTTATCAATCAGTTTTTTATTGTTGACGTCAACTAACAGGTTGAAATTACTCAAGAAATCTGCTCCGAGGATGGCGTGACTGACGTCGGCTACTATGAAAATCCATGTGAAACGCCGACGTAAACCTAGATCCAGTATGAGGGATTGCTCTCCATACGTCTGTATGCTTGTGTGGTTAGCTGCCCGGAGAGACAGTTTTCCGGGTGTCCGTGTAGATCGCCTGGATAGTGAAGGAGGGATTACGCTAACTTCTGCTCCCGTGTCTACCAGGAATAAAGTGTCTGAAGTTTTATCCTTCACATAGAAGAGGCGACTTGTTTGCTTGCCAGTAACAGCTGTCGCCATCACTGTCTGGCTGAGGCGTTTCCCTGAGCCTGGTTGGCTTCGCTAAAGCTGCACGGTTTTACACATTTCAGGGCATGACGTCCAAACTTCCAGTGATACCAGCATATATTGCTATCCCGAGAAGACGTGTAAGAACGCTGTCGTGAGAAGGATCGTCGTCGTGATGGTGACCTTCTTTGTGAACTCCGTCTCCGGACTTGTCGATCAGACTTATTAGTTTCCAACTTGTCAATCCTTGCCGCTAAGTCTGCAATGGCGGCGAGTATCGGTGTGTCTGCCGTGGGTGTGGAATGACACGGTGTGGCACTATCAGATGCTACGTGACTTATGGTGTTATCGGATAAAACATCCAAAATACTATCTGCCATGTCACTTAGTTGGTCTAAGTCATACGACTTTCCTGAGATGATTAAAATTTGCTGGACATTTCTAGGTAAACGTTGCAACCACATCTGTTTCAGCACTACCTCGTCTACTTTATGATGTCCGATTAACTGGCGCATGTGCCTGAGCAGCTGGGATGGTTTACGTGGGCCTAGTTCACAGCCTGTGAGCAATTGTTGGATTCTTTTCTCATCCGACAAACTGGTACGTTGTATGAGGAGGGCTTTAAGTTTATCAAATTGATGTTCCGTCGGAGGATCTTCGATGAAATCGCTGATTTCTGTCAATACTGACGGAGGGAGTTCTGCCAGCACCATACCATATTTGGCTATTTGGGACTTAATGCCCCGTGCTTCTAGCAACGGTTCAATTACCGCAAACCAAATCCTTGGTTCTGCGAAACCGTATTGGGGTAAACGAAAATCAGTGATGGCATTTATTGTGGCATTTGTCTCGCTATTAGTTGTCTGCTCGTTTGATGTACCGGACTGAGGTGATGACATTATATATATGAGGTTATTGGTGCAAATTAGGATACAAATATAAACCACACACAAAATCACAATGAATATAAAAATAGCAAAAATAAGAATATGAATATGCCAAAATAATCCGTGTTCTTATCGGGCTCACCAATTAATTTGTAGGGGACTAATATTAGAGTTCACTAACATTCCAAGTATAAAAGTAATAATCCAAGTCAGTGGAGTGTTAAATCACAATATATTACCAAAAATACAGTGACGAGTTATAGCAACAAAAAGGATTACTTGTATATAAAGTCTAAGTCCTCGGCTACAAATTAATTATATAATCCACGGGCACGTTAATTGTTTGGACTGCGTCTGCTGTAGCTGCTGTGTTCCGGTTGTAGAAATGTCTTCGGTTGAGAGTAGTAGGCTCCTACAATAAATCCGAAGTATACAACACGGTGTGAGTGGAGCAAGTAAGCAGAAGTGACCAGGGAGAAGACGAAGTCTCCAACAGCAGAGTGTATTTTTCAATTGTACACGGAAGTTATGTATATTTCAACAAGAAGCGTTTTAAACAAAAATTATGTACAATATCTCGAATTTATACAAGTAACCAAAAAGTGTACAATCACATTGTTACGTATTCAACAAGTCTCTACCCGGGAAGAGATCAACACAAGCGAAACCTATAAAAGACAGCCAAGGGAACCCAATCACCAAGGAAGAAAGACAGATTAAACAGTAAGCGGATCACTTCAAAAGACTCTTGAACCGACCACCACCTGAAACCCATCCAGAAATACCAACAACAGCACGTACACAACTGCAAGTTGACACCAATCCTCCAACGAGAGCTGAAGTTTTGAACGCCATCAAGCTTCTGAAAGCTGGAAAAGCAGCTGGACCAGAAGGAATACCCCTGAAGCATTGAAAGCGGACCCAGAGACGACAGCAGATATGCTGACTCCATTATTCCAAAACGTGTGGAAGGAGGAAAAGGTGCTTACGTACGAAGAGGAAATATATGTTTATGGGCAACAAAGAAGCCGGCTAAATGGGACTGAGAAGAACAGGATGAAACAAAGACCTATGTTCCATTCTGAATCCAAGGAAATAATAATAAAGTGAATTCATTTGCAAGGAACTATCGCGCATTCGTTACTTCAGATCACTGGTGACAAAATCAAAGAGAAACTGTTTTAGCCTGCTGTAAGAAAACAGGGAAAAAAGAGTTTGTTGAACTAAGAGAATTCAACTGGATGATGATCCGAACAAATATCTAATGTGTTCAAATGCCAGACACAGACTATTTCACTGGAAAAATAGTTTAGACAGTGATATGACGAGTTTTGTTCTCGACAATAGAGTTACATCTTGGAATGCTGAAAATAATACTATAGTTACCAATTAATTATATATCCATATTATATGTGTGGTTGTTGACATGTCTGCTATATTTTCCTATGGATATATGGATCGACACTCCATTATAATTAGCCATTCATGTTAAGACTGTCTATTGACTTGTTCACACACTTGTCTGGACATTCATATATATTTCGCTCTCACAATCTTGTGTGACACTTTGGTGTGATACCACTTATTGCTTCTCCTTGTGTTTGGAAAATAGAAGTATCATCGCAAACCTAGTGATCTTCTGATTTCCGCCTTCTTG